ACGGCGAAGAGTAGAAGGAGAAGCAGACGAGTAAGCAGGGCAACCATAATCGAGCTTAGACAGGACGAGAGAGGAATGTAAAGCAAGGAGAGTGCGCCTATCTGCCCCCCAAGAAGTATGGGACAAGACCCGAAGGAGGGTAAGGGCCTTAGAGCACTCAACACGGAGGTAAGAGATATGGGGAGACCGAGACAAACGAGTGTCAAGGAATAACCCCAAAAGCTTCGTGGAATCTTTGTATTCAAGGGGATGACCATAAAGTGACAAAGAGGGACGAAGAACAACCCGTTTCCGCGTAAAAGTCATGGCACAAGTCTTAGAAGTAGAGAACTTGAAGCCATGACCTGTGGCCCAAGACGACACGGCATCAATTGCAAGTTGAAGCCGGCGTTGAAGGAGAGGCGAATCATCACCCTGACAACAAAGGGTAAGATCATCGACATAGAGAGCGGAGAAGACACCAGAAGGAAGAGAGGAAAGAAGACCATTGAGGGCAACCAGAAAAAGAGTAGTGCTCAGAACACTACCCTGGGGCACACCTTCGTATTGCTGAAAAGAGGGAGAGAGAGCAGTACCAAGGCACACCCGAAAGGAACGACGAGAGAGGAAGCTGCGGAGAAAGAGAGGGAGATGACCACGAAGGCCAAAAGAATGAAGTTGAGATAGGATATGATAACGCTAAGTGGTGTCGTAAGCCTTTTCTAGGTCAAAAAGGACGGCAACAACGGAGGTCTTCGCAGCAAAAGCAGTACGAATATAGACCTCCGAGTTCACCAGGACATCTGTCGTGCTGCGGCACTTGCGGAAACCAAATTGAGAAGGGGAGAGGAGGTGATGGTGTTCCAGGAACCACATCAGACGAACGTTAACCATACGTTCAAAGAGTTTGCAGACACAACTTGTGAGAGCAATAGGGCGAAAGTCCTTAGGGGAAGTACCCAGAGCCCCCGGTTTGCGAACAGGGAGGACAACGGCATCGAGCCAGTCCTCAGGGACTGACGACGACTCCCAGATCCGATTATACAGACTCAGTAAATACCGAGGCGTGCTCGGAGGGAGATGGCGAAGCATCTCATAATGAATACCATGGAAAGATTGGGGAAGATGAAGACCAGAGCTAACAGAAGAAAAGTGGGAACCCAGTTCGGAAGCGACCTGCAACAGGTCCGCCACAAGAGTATCATGGAGGTGAAGGACCGGTGAAACATCGGGAACGAACTTACCCGCTATCTTGCGGATACGCTTCCAGATCTGGGCCAGAGGGGTTTCGGACGTAATTGTTGAGACATAAGATGCCCAACATTCACGTTTAGCCGTACGGATGGCCCTACGGGCCACCGCACTCGCTTTCCGAAAGAAAAGAAAAGAATCGGTCGTCTGCCTACGGCGGTGCCTCTTCCAGGCTGCACGCTTACAGCGGACAGCCCGAGCACAGTCCGCATTCCACCAGGGAACGCACTTCCGTGGACCCCGAGAGGAAGAGCGAGGAATAGAGCGGAGGACAGCGTTGAAGACAGTGTCATGAAAAAGAAGGAGAGCGCGAGAGAGAGGCAGAAGGGAGAGGTCAGAGAGAGCAGCACTGAGGGTAAATAGGGTCCAGTCTGCCTTAGCAAACTGCCACCTAGGGAAAGAGAGGGAAGGGCAAAAAGAGAAAAAGGAAACAAGGATGGGGAAATGATCACTTCCATGGAGGTCATCAAGAACCTGCCACGTGAAATCTGAGTAAAGAGAAGAAGAGCAGAGAGAAAGATCAAGACAAGAAAGGGTGCGAGTCCGAGAGTCCAAATGAGTGGGCTCACCAGAATTCAGAAGAGACAGGGAAGAAGAGAGGAGAAACGGCTCAAGGAGGCGACCCCGGGTATTCGTCAGAACGTCACCCCAAAGAGAATGACGACAATTGAAGTCACCCAGCAGGAGCACAGGCTCCGGCAAGGAGTCTAGGAGGTGTTTCAAATCAGGAAGAGAGAGCGGGACACTCGGGGGGAGATAAATGGAACAAACTGTGTACCATTTCCCCACAAAGATACGAGCAGCAGAACAATGGAGAGGCGAAGGAAAAAGTAAAGGAACAAAGGGAACATCAGCCCGAATCAAGAGAGCAGAAGAATTAGAAGCCCCAGCAATGGCTGGGGGGGGGGGGGAGAGAAAGGAATAGCCACGAAAACGACCAGGACGAGCACCAAGCATTGCCTCCTGGAGACAGACACAAAGGGGCGAAAACCGCGAAATCAGAAGTTGGAGTTCGAGGAAATTGGCGTAATAACCTCGAACGTTCCATTGAAGAATGGACAACGACGAGAAGAGAAAGGACAAAAACAGAGAACAAGGAAGAAACAAAGGCGAAAGAGCAACAGAGCACGTTAAAGAATATCAGGGTCGGGATCAGGGTCAGCAAAGTCAGGGTTAGGGGGCATGGGTAAACTGAGCAAAGACGGAGGGAAGGAAACGGGAGAACAGATCAGAGGTGGGCGGGCAGGGTCCGGAGGAGGAGGAGGAGGAGGAGGAGGAGGAGGAGGAGGAGGAAGAGGAGGAGACAACGGAGAGGAGCAGTCAAGGACAGCAGCAGGAAGAGGGGGAGTAGAAAGAGGGGAGCGCACCCCAGCAAGAGCAGCAACCGAAAGGGAAGCAGGGGCCAAAGAAACCTCCATAGCAGGAACAGGGGGCGCAAGCACTGAAACGGGAGGGGAAGGAGCAACAGAGCCAGAAGGAGGAGCTGAGGAAGAAAGCGAAGCCTTCTTACCCGCCGGGGAAGAGGAAGGAGAGGAGCCAGGCTTACGCTTCTGACTTAAAGAGACCGGTGTCCCAGCAACTACGTACCGGGCAACGGATTCCAGTGTCTCAACAGGAGAAGCCGAACGAGAGCACACACGACGGCCGTTAGGAGAGCGATGGACATCCGCCCGCACCGACAGGCGGTGGGGAGAGCCGATAGATGGAGGAAGAGGATGGGAAGGAGGATCGGAGGGGGACGAGGAAGAAGACACAGAAGACACGACAGACCGGGTAGAAGGAAGGGGAACCCCAGACAGAGGACCAGGAGGAGGATCCTTCGGGAGAGAACCCAAAGGAACAGAGGAGGGGGCAGTGGGCGCATCAGGGTCCAAGGCCCGGAAACGGTTGTGAGTCTGAGGAAGGCGGGAAGGACGAGGAGAGGAAGAGCGCAACACGCGAGCATAAGAGATATTAGCATAAGGCGGGAGCCGGTGAACCTGGCGCCTCGCCTCAGGAAAAGATAAACGCTCCCGGTACTTCAAGTTGAGGACGGCTGCCTCAAGCTTGTAATGGACACACGCACGGGAGAAGGTAGGATGGGCCTCACCGCAGTTGAGGCAACGAGCCTGGGGAGAAGTGCACTCCGACTTAGAGTGACCTTCGCCACCACACAAAGGACAGAGAGAGACAGTCCCGGAGCAGCGGAGGGCACCATGCCCAAACCTCCAGCACTTGTTGCAGAGCCGAGGAGAAGGAATGTACTCCTGGACAGAGCACCTGGCACCAGCAAGAATAACAGAGGGTGGAAGGGTCCTACCATCAAAGGTAATCTTCACAACCCGGAGGGGTTGACGGCGACTACCACGAGGGGGACGAGTAAACGTGTCCACCTGGAGAATAGAATGGCCCTGGGCAGCGAGGATATGACGAATATCATCGTGGCAGTCGCGCAGGTCCCGAACACCGGTCGCAGCATGGGGCGGGAGCAAAATAGTGCCAACACTGGCATTCAACTGAGCGTTCTTCGAGACCCGAACGGGGGTCTCGACAAGGCAGGATAAGGCAGCCAAGCGGGAAGCAGCATCCTGAGGAGCAGCAGCAACGACACGTGTACCGAGACGAGAGGGGTTGAAAGTAATGGAGGCATCCACGGAATCAATGAGATGTCGATGGAGGGAGAAATCGTCAGGAGGCGCAGAATCAAGAGGGAGGAGATCAAAATATTTGGCCCACGAAGCGGGACCAAACAAGGCTTGATAGGTAGCAGAACTGGAAGGAATCGAGCGAGGGCGGCCGTGACGAGGACGGCGGTGAGAACCCCCAGAGAGAGAGGGGTGAAAAGGCGCAGTAGTTACAACTAGAGAAGGAGCCGCGCCAGGGGACGAGGTAGTCACCACTGGGGGCTTGGGGCTCGACCCAACCACAGAGGAGGGAGGGGAGCCAGGGAAAGGAGTCAGAGAGGCTAAAGGAGGAGCAAGGTCGGGGCCCAATGCAGCGGAGGCTACAGAGCCCGGTCTTCCAATACGGACCGACTCGGGGGCTTGGTCGCCCACCCCACGAGCCTGAGAAGGTAAACCAGAAGAAGCCGAAACAGGGGTTTTCATCTTGACGAAAAGAAGAATTCATTCACGAATGTGCCCCCACACCCACCATGGAGCCACAATTAGAGGCAGGACACCCAACAAGAAGCTATCGCCGATCTTGTCGGGGCCTCCTAGGGGTGCGTCGTGAGTATACACCCCACAAACGCCACCTTAAGAAACCGACAGTCCGTCGAGATCGGGTTCAGTGACGAAAGGGAGATTGACAATAAAAGGTTCCCCTCGCTCTCGACGTTGGGTACTACAGTTCTACGGGTGCAAGAGTATGCCTCCTCAAGCACCCGGGCGTCAAAATAGAAGAAGTCCAAGGGAAGAACCAGAACGAGCAAAAGGTCGGCAGGAAACGGCAAGCAGATAGGAGAAGAGGGGGGAGAAAAACGAAACAGAAGGAAAAGGAAAAGATGCCCAGCAGAATTGGAGAGGACGGCAGCAGGAGCACAAGGCTAGAAAAGGACAGAAGACTGTCCCAAGGAGCATCACACTCCGGCAGCCGCCCACTAAGCCCCCACACGGCGACAACGAGCTGAGCGGGGAGGGGGGGTCCCCAGTAGGCCCATAAGAACTCCATACACATGACTGATGCCAAAGTCTGACATTAGCATATCAGCCTAGTAAGCTCCGGGGAGCAATAGGGGCTCCCCCAGAAAAATTATTAGGACAAATAGGAATAAATGAACATTATTGATAGCTTGCAAAATATGTAAAACTTTAATTTTAACATTTAAAAATATCAATGCACTTAATTTGTAAACCTTTTATCAATTGTTTACACTTATTTTCCTACCCACTTAAAGAAGTTGCACCGAGCATTTGGATCACCTTCCTTGCCTACACCTTTGGCACAAGCATAAAACTGCCGATTTATATTTGGTCCCTTCTTTTTAACTGTAAGCCTAACAGCTGGTTCATTGTGCCCTGGACAGAGTGGAGGCAGTTTTGGTCCTTTCATTAGGAAGTTCCATCCTAAATTTTCAGTTTTACTTTGGCTTGACTTTAAATTGGTTCCTGGGCAACTTCTAATACTTTCTGCTGATGAAGCCAAGTCATCTGAAAAAACATCTTTGCAGTCAAGGCTTGCACTTTCATCATTTTCTATCTGCCTTGAATTACTGAGTAATGTGTGTGTACTTTTTGCATCATTCAACTTTTGACTTGAACTCTGACTTCCGAATTCAGTATCTTCTATGTCTGGTGACACAATGGGGGTGCCTTGATCCCTTACTTTTGAAGTGAAGAACGAACTCAGTTTCCTTTGTTTTTCTATACAATTTTTTTTATTTGAAGACTTAGTTTTAGTGTTGTAATTTTTTCTTTTTACGCTACAGTGTGAATTTTCAAGATTTAAAACTCCTTCCTTCGAAGGCTTAGGAAGATTCTGACAATTCTGACTTCTTCTCATTTGACCATCAAGCAAGGGCACCTGTGACTGAAAATATGACAATAACTTTTGTTGCTGCCCTCGAAATTCTGGAAAGAATTTAGCACAATTGCAGGGAAGTCTATCTGAAGGAATTAATTTCCCTATAACCAATATAGCCACGGGACAATGATCACTTCCCATTATGTCTTGAAGAATTAAACTGTCTTTCACAAATGGAAGAAATTCTTCATTACAGAACACATAATCAATTCTTGTTCCATAATTTGTTGATCTGGAATTGGTAAGTGTATTCCAGCAAGTAAATGCATCTTTCTTGTCAGGGTAGAAGTAACGATATGTATCAACCACTTGAAAGTCTGTGTTTGACACAAGTAAATGGTTCTCAGATAGCTCATCATCTTCAAATTCATCCCTGATTACTGGCTTTCCTTTCTGTTTTGTACATCTGTCCTTTCCTTCTTTGATGTATTCTTTATCTAAGCTCATTTTAGTATTTATATGTATACAAATTTGTTCACTAACATTTTGGCTGGCAAGTTCCTGCTCTACATTACTAATGTTTCTTAGTTTATTTTCTGGTAATGAGAGAGATGAACCACTGCCAGTCACTTGATCATATGCATTAAGCTTATTTTTGTATACAGTATTATTACAGGTCTTATTAACTTTACAGTCTTCATATAAATTTCTTCCAGCATTTTCAATATCTTTCCTGCACAGTGGAACGAGAAAATTGCTCAGGTACAGTCTATCCAGTCGTTTCTCAAATATCTGTCGTAAGAGATAGCAAATTTTAGATCAGCCTCTGTATTCAAAATGAAATGTCTTTATATTCAATACAAGATAAACCATTCAGAATCAATTCAATACAAAATCAAGCTAAAATATGTACACTGGTATTCTCACACCATCCTTCTAATTGAACATGTATCCTCACGAATATTAAAAAAAAAAAAAACAGCGTTGAATGTAATGAAATGCCATTTTTTGGGTGAGTCCCGGAGGTTCCCTGGAGCTATCCAGGCTGGATGGAAATGTATATCTGTCTGGCATCAGTCAATGCATGGAGTTCTGCCTACCAGGGACCACGAGCTAGAACCTGGCCCCCCCCCCTTTTGAGAGGCATGAGGAGCAATGACCTACAGAGACCCACCTGTGGTTGGGAGCATTCTATGTCTGCCATCGACCGGGACAGGCACCCAGAAAGGTAGGCACCCCAAAACAAACCCCCTATTCTTTTAAAATTATTGTGACCGAAAGCCGAACAGGTGGACAGAACTCCCCAAACGAAAATTAGCAAACTAGCATGACGTAATCATGTTGCTGCACTGTTGTCTGCGCAACCCCCCCCCCCTCCCCGGGAGGAGGGAAGGGGGAGCCCCAGACCCCATCCGTCAGCAACCCAACCTACAGTTCTTAGGCTGGATGTCAAAAGGCACGAAAAACACCACCGGCCGGAGGGAGGGCGAGATGCCGGGGAGGTTATCTTGAGATGATTTCGGGGCTTTTTTTTAGTGTCCTCGCGGCCCGGTCCTCGACCAGGCCTCCACCCCCAGGAAGCAGCCCGTGACAGCTGACTAACACCCAGGAACCTATTTTACTGCTAGGTAACAGGGGCATAGGATGAAAAAAACTCTGCCCATTGTTTCTCGCCGGTGCCTGGGATCGAACCCAGGACCACAGGATCACAAGTCCAGCGTGCTGTCCGCTCGGCCGGCTCCCAAGGCACCGGAGCCTCCAGGACTCGCCCAGAAAATGGCGTTTCATTTCATTTAACGCTGGTTTTCTGGGGGGAGCCCCGTCGGCTCCCCGGAGCTAGCTACCTAAAGATAAGGAAAAACAGGGACTTACCCGGGAGGCTCTTCACTCACTCCTTAATGCGAAGTTGAGACAACTGGCTGCAACCGCCGACCCAAAGCAACTCAGGCCCTACCTGGCCCTGGAACATTTACCAGATAGCGAGCAGCCAGGACCCTGTTGGACCTCCAAAAACCCCGCACCTGAATGTCAACCCAAGACATGTTGCCAAAAACGGCAGCCAAAGTCGCAAACGTACGAACGTTGTAGACACGGGAATAAACCATAGGCTGGCTAGACTTAACCCTTAGACCTCCTCGCAATACATATATAGATGATTTGAGAAACAAAACCGGAACTGTGCAATACATTAATAGCTGTTTTAGTGTCTAGCGCCTCAATTTAAACGTCCCGCGTGGGATAGGGGCAGCTATAGTGCAGCCACGACCGATAGTTGACAGACGCCACCTCGAAAAAAAATAGTGGCCAACATTCCTGGGTGTGACAGCTTCAGTATTGAGCGAGCCATCAAGGCTGATGCATGCACCATGAGCACACAGCACTGTTGTTCAGCTTGTGACCACAGCATCGCCTAAAAATGTCAAAATATATATATGTTCATGCTATTATTTAGTGATGATAGTATTACAGAAGACCCCCCTGACTGATAAAACTGACCAGGATTCTGATAATAGCAGAATTGTGGTGATATTTAGCGCTGTGCTCTATTGAAGGAGGAGTAATGCTGTGGGAGGGAGGGTGGTGGCATTGTCTTCTGACTGTGTGTGGCCACCTTTTATTGACTGCACTCACCATACCAGCTTAGTGGTTCACTATAGTGTACACAAATGTAGATACTTATATATAACGTGTGTATAGATTGTAATAACAGCAATAGGAGAAGGTTGGGAGCTGCCTTTTTGGTGAGGGAGGTGCGTCGTCTGCACGACTTGTCACGTTGTTTACTGGTGGTCACTATGGTCTTTGGGCACCATACCAGCTTATTTGTACAGGAATGGTGAAAAAAGAAGGTAGATACTTATATATAATGTATGTGTATATAGCGTAATAACACCACAAACAATATTGTTGGAGGAGAAATATTAGTGTGCCTGGCCTTGAGGGCGGCCGCCACCAGCTGACTGTGTGAGTAGTTACGTCTTATTGCCTTTACTCACCATACAAGCTTAGATGCACAGTTATGATGAATAAAACATGTAAATACTTATATATAACATCTGTGTATAGTGAATAAGTGCAAAAACAGTATCATGGAAGGAGAATGAAGGCGAGTGAGGTGTAGTTGAGGGAGTGGCAGCAAGTGGCTGGCAGGTGTGTGGCGTTCACTCCTCGTTGCATTTTGACTCACAATACGAACTTAGTGGTTCGTTATGGTGAGAAAACATGCAGATACTTATATATAACCTGTATATATAGTGTAATAACAGCAAAACTATTTGTTTATTGTATTGTCTCTGCCACCTGAAGCAGAGACAAGGAAGCGGTGCGAGCGTCCCAAACCAGACCCAGCCAAGACCGAACCTGAGAAGGAACCAGATGGGACTTCCTCCAGTTCACCAAGAACCCAAACCCGGCGAGCTGGGAAAGAACTAAATCCCTGGTGAGCAGACACGCGGACTGGCTGGGAGCCGAAACCAGTCAATTGTCGAGGTAGGCCAGAACCTGAACACCTAACAGACACAGGCGGGACACCACGACCCGAGTAAGGTGTGTGAAAACATGAGGCGCCTGATTCAACCCGAAGGAAAAACAACGAAACCGGTAAGCTTGATGCCCCACAACAAAACCGAGCCAGTCCCTGAACCTCGGGTGAACGAGGACATGCCAATACGCATCCTTGAGGTCCAGGGACACCATCAAAGCGCCTGGCTCCAACAGAAGACAGACCTGGGATAGAGTAGTCATCCTGTAGTTGGGGCAATAAACCCACGAGTTCAGACGGGACAAGTCCAGAATGAACCGGAGGTCCGCGCAATCTAGTTTCGGGACCAGAAACAGGCGGGAAACCTACCTGAGGGACGCTGTCATTTCGACCATACACAAGTGAACCCACTCCGAGATGACCTGACAGAGTGCAGAAAAAGAGGCCTGCCCCGCCAGCCCCGAACCCCCCAAGGCAGAAGGAGCCACCCAACACCACCACAGGCTGCACGAAACGACCCGAAAAGCCCACGAATCGTGGAACCAGGCGCGAGCAAACAGGGCGAGCCACCCCCCATCAATGGGACAAACCGCGAAAGGACCGATGCGCCTTGCGGGAACCCAAACGGCGAAGAGGGCGATCCCCGCGCCGACCAGAGGCTGCACCTGCCCCGAATCTGGCACCAATGGCCTACCACGATGAAAAGATCCCCGAGCCCTGGCACGACCCTTCCGGAAAGGCTCCCCACGAACCCCCGGGGGCAACAACAACAACTCAGAAAAAAGAAACCAAGGGCCGAAGCAAGCAGGCCACGAGTACGCAAATACTCCGCAATCAAGGCAGCCGAAAGGAAAGGAACCTGCACGTGAAGCTGCACGACACCAACATCCCACGGAAGGGCAGGGGCGAACAAACAAGCATTGAGATGCTCGAAGTCGCCCGCCAAGAAAACCTGAAAAGCCGAAAGAGTCTCTCGCCACTCAAGCGCGCGGGACCGAGAGAATGTGTGCCAAGCCTCCAACGAGAAAAGAGATGTCTGCCAACCAGGACGACTCCGGAACTTCATAATGAACCCAGTACGAACTAGAAGAGCTGTACACGAAGGAATGCAGATCCATCATGAAAGCATACTCCGGGTCGCGCAGGAGGTAAGCCGCCAAGGTCTCCCGCACCTCAGAAGACGAGACGCGGGAAGCCGGAAACCTCTGGAAAGACAGAACCGAAGAACCCGCAGGATCATGGAACCGAACCCGGGGAGGGCTGGACACCGAATCCAACTCGTATGCGGAGGGAGCGAAAGAGAACCCCTCTCCTTGGAACACCAAGCCCCGCTCAGAGGGCAGAAAAACCCAGGCGGGGTCCAACAGGGCCTAAGGCCCTCAAGCCAACCCCTCCCCAACTCCGGGACCCTCACCCTGAGGACCCGGGGCCAAGCCTGCCTCCAAACCCCCTACTTCCAAAGAAAAAGCAGGAACTGCCGAAAAAGAAGGAATGAAGGGGGCCTACTGGCTAGACCCAGAAGCTCCGGCAGAAGGACCAGGCTCGAATGCCTCCACCGCAACCTGAGAAGGGGACATCCCCAAGACCACCAGAGTCTCAACACCAACTAGACCCTGCCCCGACTCCGAAACCCTCAGACGCTTCGGAGCCGAAGCAAGGGGTGGGGGATGGGGGGATCGAATGAACGACAGACGGGGAAGGACTAGGAGGGGCGGACGGAACCAGAGCCGAAGCGACTCCCACCCCCCAGTCCGGGTCCCTATAACCAAAACGGGGCAGTCTTGGTGCATCCGGGGCCGCAACCAACCGAGCGCATTGCAGCAACCTAAATCTAGCATGCAACGCCTTAGCTGCCTGCACCCACATATCATCATCAGTAGCTTGGGTGAACTGGAGTACGAACAGACAACACATGTCTGTTCGTCTGACATTCGTCACCCCTGCAAGCACAATTAGGTAAGTACATGTTGCACGACTCCGGGTCAAAACAATCACCAACCCAATAGGCAGCATGATGGAGGCAAAACCAGTGAGTGTCACCCAGAGACAAGGGGAGCAGAGTAACCTTCAAACTCGCAAGACGCGAGAGGGGACTCGGTGGTCACAGCCATTGGACCACGTAGCCCCCGTAGGTGTTTCCCTGGGCCCTTAGCCTTGGTAACACGCTAAGTGAAGCCCAAGCAAGGTACTGCAAACTGGCAGCTAAGTCTACCAACAAAACTCCTAAAGCTGAACCCCCGGGACGTGTCCACTCACGTGGACATTCGGCGCGGCAGCAAAGTGTGATGTTTGCTTGTTTTCTTGTTTCCTT